TCATACCTTTATGGGCCGGGAACGCTGCAATATATACACATAATAATAATATTATAGGACCTATATATGTCTAAGAACTGTTGTAATGCATCATAGGCGAATCTACAGAGTGTGTCGGGTATGCCAGAGCACACCCTGCGACTCGTGTAAACTTATGTAGGGCCCATAATACTCATTTCAGTTATAACGGTTTTGTGTCCAAGTAGTGTAACGATTGACCACGTTACAGTATTAAACAATTTATACATTTAAATACATTTTTATACATTGTCAATAAACATTATCTTATTGTTATTTAATATTATTAATATTATTATTTCAAATGGGAAACATCTCTTAAATGTATGATAACTGAGAGGTATTTTGAACTACAGAAGGCCTCTTTGAGGTAAAATCACACCCTGCGATGAATTCCTAGATTCGCCTATTTAATGTATACTATATCTGTGTGTGCTGAACTCGTATTAAGTTTATAATCAGGCTAAAAATATTAACTAAAAGGCTTATTTGGTCCAGAAATCAAACCAATTGTATATTTACATATACTCACTGAACGGTAAATAGGTGTTATTAGAAATATTTTCATTGATCAGCTCTGTAAAAAAAGAACAACGTCTGCCAAGACACGTCGCACTACACGGGATTCAACGTCAACTGATCCTATCATTTGGACACACGATTTTTATTGGATAAATTAAAATTTACCCGTAAAATTATTCCGAATATACTTGTAACAGTTTTAAAGAAAAAATTAAACGGTGCTAGTGAATTCATTATCATCATCCACTGTAAACGCTTTTGATTATTGAACAATCGTCCTATATTATATCTATAGTACATAAAGAATATTGAATGAGCATTATCCCGAGAAGCCAGCGATATGAACGTATAGGTCGTCTTTTATTACATTTTTAAGGTATCTAAAAAATTTGTTGCAACGAATAATAATAATATACTATACGCGAGTGCATGCCATACAAACTCCCAGTTGGCACTCGTTTTCGCATTGTATTAATGGATACACGCAAATGTAAATGTCGACGGGTGCCACAACGAGAATTTTTATTTAAATACATCACTTTACCAATGTGTACTGTTCACAAACCGCAGGTATAAATTGTGTATTTCTTAAGAAATGTTTCTATAGTTTATAGGTTTTAATGCGTTATTCAAAACGGAAAGGCACGTGGAAAGAATACTTAGGATTTTAATTCTTTCTGTAATAACAAAAATTCGGTTGGACGAAATTGTATATACATTTTAATGACCACAAATTCTTTTGAGTGCGAAAAATATAAAAATAACGGGCAATTCATATTTATTCTATCCGTAAATCCACGAGTAAAAAAAAAAATAAGGGGTCATTAAAATGAAATTATCGTTTATACGTTTATGTCTACTTGATTAAAATATTATGCACAAAAAAACAATGGTTTTTTGAAAATCAAGATTTATAATCTATTTATAATCTTCTACAATGTAATAGACGTACTTTATGACGGTCGATTTTTAATTTCTGGAAACACAAATAACCGTTTATACAAATATTATACCTACTAAACTTACGTACTGAGATATTATTTTATGTCATATGCGAATGATATTGCAAATATTTTTAAATTATATGTGCCATTGACCGTCATTACCGTTAAAAAGCAACTAATGTGTGATAAACTATTATTGAAAACTATATCTAGAACTATAACGTATAATAATGATTTTTCTTACTGCCAAATAGTTAGAAAAAAATAAAAATAAATAAAACAAATTATAAGATTTTAACTAAGTGAACAAAAAATGCATTTATTTATTTAAAGTCAGACTTATAATAGTAGCGTATTGATTATTTTTGAAATAATTGATTATTCCATAAAAATTATATTGCGTTTAATGTAGGTAATATTTATAAATAAATAAAAAATTGATAAATGTTAAAATTATAAGTCGAAAGTCTAAGAAGATACCACTATGTTAAACATTAATTTAAACAGTTATAAAAATAATAAACTTTAGTTTTAAAGATTTTGTAGGAATTTGTAGAAATTAATTTTAAAATATTAATACTTAAATAGTGATTTAAAATGACAAATGTTATTTTATCTGTTTTTAAAACTAAAATATTTTATACTAGTTTTAAAAATTATATTTTTAAAGCATTATTAAAATAAAAATCTTGATATTTCATGTTTAATTCAAATAAATAATAAAGGAATTTTATCCTCAAAGCATCAAAGTATATTATTTATACTGTGTTAATCATACTTAATTTAAAAAATTATAATTTTACAGTATTTCTTTTAAATAAAGTGTACCTACAATAAATATTATCAAGAATACTGTAAACAGGTATTCAAATTTTAAATATCATAATGATTGGCGGAGGAGCATTTGATTTAAAAATTTTAATTGATTGTTAATAAACAACTTTTATCGCATTCGTGTAACATTAAAAAATTAAAATTATTGTCATAAATATCCACTTTAAACATAAAGGGCGCAAATCATTGAAGTGCTATTCTTGCATATTTAATAAAAGTTTAATGTAGAACACCGTTGTATACCAGAGCCTTTAGAAATATTCTTATTGTATACAACCGTATAAATTATGTAACATATCAAGTAATTGGTTTTATAACCTTGTCAACCTAATTGTTGAATAGTGTCAACAACACTATGATGTGTCTTGGTATTTCATGTAAATGATATGAGACCAATTCGGCTGAATAATGCGTATAAAAATATATTTTACTATCGAATTTAAAATAATTACTGTTTTTAATTTATTACGCCAACCTATGTAACAATAATTTATTTTCTTTTTACAATAAAAATGTATTAGTGGTTTCAAAAGTATGGATAATTTTATTCAAAATATATCATAATAATAAAAATATATATTTTATTAATTATATATTTATTAGTGTATAAATAAGTATAAAAATATGTATCGTACGTGTATTCTATTTATATTGCAATATGTAATAATATGATATTATGGGCTAATATTGAAAATATAATAAGTGTACGTTAGGGATTATTTTATAGATTATATTTCTATAAAGCGTGAAATAAATTATCAGGGGATCCATATTCATATTGAAATCAAAATAAATTGCTTGTTTTTAGGAGACAAAATTGCAGCAGATGTGTTTTCTATCGTAATCACATTAACATAGGTACGGCGTTTAATTAATCCGGTTGTGTGGTTCAATAACATCCATTTGCATATAAATCGAGTAAGACTAAACGATTGTTGTCTGTCCAAAACGCAGTAGCGCATATACATATAAAATAATAGTAGCCAAATTACACACGAAAAGTATTAAAATACTAAGGAAATCATTACAATCGAAATGTACAGATTTTATACGTTTTATTTATTTTATAAGTAGTATTGAATGTTATGTACATAAACGGTGAGATACTAAAGAACTAGAAGTATTAAAGTATTGATTATGGCAGTTCTAAGAGATTTTAATCTGAATACGTCATAAGCTATAAAATTATAATTTCAATAAGAATGTAGTTGGAACGAATTTATAATCTTTAAGTATGTATGAAAATTATTTCCATTTATGACAGACTAAAGTCGGATTAGCTATTTATTAATAAAATATTAAAATCTAAGCACACTCAGCAAACTTTAAAAATATTTTTAAATGTTCAATTTAAAAATATACAGTTCGATTAGAAAACAGTAGCAACCGTACCATCATTATTATAAATTATTATTATTATTTTATTATTATTATTATTATTATCATCATCATTATCATCATAATCATCATCATCGTCATCATCATAATCTTCATAATCATTATAAAAGAAACACGTCCATAATGTCGGGTCTAATTGTCGTCTGGCGCCAACCACACATGTTGTTATGTTTAAGACGTTTTGGTTCTGTGCGTCACTTCTGCGACAAGTTTTCCGTGTATATAGTTTCGAGTGATTGAGGTTATCAATGTGATAATTACTTATATTCTTTAACAACAACACTCTCATATACAACATTCCTCCGAGCGATGACACAGAAGATTAACTAATTATAGTAGGAAAAATTAGTATATCCTTTGTTTGTACATGTACGGATGTCTCTATTCCTTCTATGATTAAAAATGTAAAATACCCCAATACAACCTACTTGTAAACATTTATAAGACTGTAGAATGAAAAAAAATATTATACGAATATTACGATGAACTAATTATGATATTTTAAATAAACACTACTATAGAAAAAAAAGTCAAAAGCTAGTATTAATTGGAAGCCATCTGAAAATGATTGATAATAAAATATTTAATAATAAAATTATTATTAATAATAATACGACAATGATAATACAATGTTTAATAGATACTTTTAAATAATGAAAAAAAAAATATTTCCTATTATATGCCTGGATACGTTCAATAAACTTTTAAATCACGCGTTGGATTTACACCCACATTAGAATATAATCAAGTGTTATAATAATATTCTAATAATATTAAAGTTATGAAAACTAATGATGGGATGAATATAAACAAATTTGGTAAATTTGAGTAAATGATGACGAATAAACTAGAAATATCCATAAGATAATAATAATTAAATTAAAATATACAATCTAGCGTTCTGCGTTAATCATGCAGATAAAAGTCTTAATCAGTCGCGATTAAACCGCAAGTGTGGAGGTTTACATATTATAATCATTGGCAGTGTAATGATTATGCACGTTACACAAGGTTTTAGATTCTGTTAAGTACACGATTTTCCAATTTGAATTGTGTGGTGTACGGATAATAGTATCGGAGCGGAAAACAGTTAAAAAACGTCCACGTAATCGCGAAAACGTTTGCGCGCGCGTTAGAATGATTTTATAAAATTTATATATAAGAGTGTAAATATAATAACGCGGTAAGACCTGTACTACCGTAGGTTGGCGAGGGGTAAGGAAACGAAAAATTAATGTTCGGATAGTAGAAAACATTGTGTACGATGATAATGCATGTACCGACCTGCCGGATTTGGTGATGACCATTTCGGTGCCGAGCTTGTGAAACTTTTCCCACAGATCCTTGCCCTCCAAGGTGACCTTAGGATCGTCGACCACGCCGTCGTCCTCGGGCCTGACCACGGAACGTGGCAGCGAAGCCGCCGGGTGCGGGTGGTGGACGCCGTGCGCGACGGCCGCGGCCAGCGCGAGCATCTCTTCGGTTGGATAGCCCGCGGCGCCGGGATGATGGGGCGCGTGGTGCATCTTGGGCATGGGTATCATGGTGCCCGGGTAACAAGCGCCCATGGCGTAAGCCGCGGCCGCAGCGGCCGACAGACCCGGTGGCGGTGGCGGCGGCGGCGGGTACTGCTGCTGCTGGCCGCCGGCTTGTTGTTGCACCGCGGATGGCGGCGCGCCACCGCCGCTACTACTGCTGCTGTTGTTGTTGTTGGTCAGCAACGAGCTGACCGAGAAGTCGGTGGACGACGCCCGGGCCGCCGTGTACGATGTGTCGGGGGAACGTTGGCCACCGGTCATCGCGGCCGCGGTTTGCGGGGTGTCCGGTGCCCCACGGGGTGACCGGCACCTAAGGTCCGCTTGTTCGAACCGCATAACAGCCACGCCGTCCGCGCCGCTACCGTTTGCCCCGGCCACTACGGTGGACCAGACTTCTGCTCGAGCATTCACAAATGTTTTCTGCTGCAGGAGATTAACGGCTCGTGAGTTGAAAGAAAACCGAATCCAACGTTATGTTTTATTGAATATATAAATATATATGTATTTTAAATAAATATATTTAAATATATATATATGTGCGTTGAACGACGGTGTAGATGATCACAAACGCGCACTTGCGCACGTGAAAGACAGTTGGACACTTTGTGGAAGAAAATCGAACGAGGTGTTAAAATTAATAGAAATAAATAATTCGGAAACGCGAGGTTAGGTTACTGTTACGATTACTTCTGACAAAGGTAAAAGGCGTTTGCGATGTGTGTGTGTGGGTGTGTACACATACACCGTGAACGGGGACGAGAAAAATCGCACTTTTAAAAAAAAATATACAATATTAATAACGCGAGAACGACACGGTGAGAATACGAGTGTACGACGAAACGGAAACGACGACGAAGCGACGACGACGACGACGACGATGACAACGACGAAAACGAGAACGGTTAGCGCGCTCGGTGCCGACTGACTGTGTGGCGGCGGCGGCGATGTGACAACACCGACGCCCCGGTCCGAGTGTTAATGAGAGTCGCGTCCGGATTGGTCGAGACGGGGCCGGCCAATCGGCAAGCGTCGACGGTTTCACGCAACGGCGTCAACACGGACGCGGGCGGGCGGGCGCGGACGCGCACACACGCGCACCACGACGCACCAACACACGCTGCGGAGAGGCGCGCGCGGCGCTGCTTCGTCGCGGGTGTGTGTGCGTGCGTGCGTGCGTGCGTGCGACCGGTGCGTGCGTGCGCGCGCGAGCGAGCGTGTGTCGGACGCGGCGCGGCTGCGGCCGCGTTGGTGGGGGCCGACGTGGCCGTCGCCGGTCAACGCTTGCTCAGGCGGCTTCGGCGGCGGCGGCGACGACGACGACGCCGGTGTTAAAATACGGCGCCCACCACCACCACCCTACGCGCGTGGTTCATGTGTCCGACGTAACGACCGGAGGACTTTTGGCGCCCCCTCTTCGCCGCCGCCCGCGCTATACACCACAAAACGCCGTCGACGACGCCACCGCCGCAGACGTCGCCGGCCCCCTTCGTCGTTCACGCATCCTCCTCCGGACCGCGCTCGCACACACGCGGCGTTGCACACCGTCAGCGCTCCGCCGTGCGATCCTCGCCGGGTTCACCCGTTTCTCACTCACCCGTTCTCCCGCGCGCGCAACTCTCCGCCGTCCGCGAACGTTTTGCGTTTCGTTCGTTTGCTCTTCCGCCGTCATTCGTATTTTTTTTTTAAAACACGCGTGACAACCTCCGGTACGCATACGTATTTCTCTCTCTCTCTCCCTCTCATAACAACACGAGCCCGAAACGCTTACGCAAACGTTCTCTTACCATAACAATCCGTTCGTTCCGTCGCCATCGCGTCCGTATACGACGGCAATCCCAACGCGGCGCACGCCCCCACACGTCACTCGCGATGTTTTCGCGTGTCCCTGGACAACGGATCCGTTCTCGCGACGTTCGCGGACTCAAGTCCGGGGGAGACGCGCAACGGGTATTATTATTACGTAACTCGCGGCTTACATAATGCTGTGCAGGGCTATTATCGACCCCGCGACTAGCTGTAAAACTTTTATTGAAAATATTTCGTTTATTTCAATAAAACGGTGCACGTTAAGTGTGCATACATATGTTATCAATTACCGTTTTGTACAGTAAACGGTGTACTACGCCGCGCGAACCGTTATTTTCAAGTATTTTTTATCTCTAACCCTTTAGCTTCGGTATGTCCGTGTTGGTAAACAGTTGTTTGCTATCGGTGATGAAGGGTATAATTCTGACTAGGTACTCTTTTTTCTCATTACTATTTGTAAATATACGATAACGTGATGTGTTGTGTATGATAATGTATACGAATCAATATAAAAACAATTAAATTACCAGCGCTGCTTTTACGCCCCGCAATATTACGTATTCATGTATGCACGAATTTTTATTTTATTTTTTAATTTTATTCATAGGCTCACATCCATAAGTACAGGCAAACGAATAATATATTAATCGGTTAATTATTTTAATTTGTTCTTACACCTCATCACTTTACACCTACATACGGGGCTACGTACATATAATATTACAGGTAGGTATAGTTGATTGATTGATTATCTCATAATAAACAAATTCACCATGTTAATAACAGGATTGCGATACAGCGGTAACTTGTTGCAGTGTACTAAGGAAAATTAGTATGTATAGATACAATTTAATTTCAAAATCCATGCGCGTACCTACGTAATGTGCAGTGTGTTAATAAGTTTGAATTTAAAAAGATGAATTATGTATATAGTATACATATAGTCTATACATAGTATACTCTTATAAGAGCCTATGTAGTACATAAGCACTATAAAGAAATTATATAGGTAGGTACACGTTATTTTAAATGTACATTTATTTTATCAATATTTTATAACAAACCGTTGTTTTAATTTTAAAAGTTTCATTTGAAAATGCATTAAATGAACATAATATAATAAATTAGAAGTATTTGACTATTTTATTCCATATTATATATATATATATATATATTATATATCTTGAGTGACTCTAGTCGATAACTTTAATCGGTATTTTTATTGGTGAGGGTGATATTAAAATGTACTGTAAAGTAAGCCTATAGCTTATAGGCTATATAATCTGTATTATCATATATGGTTTATAAAAAAATTATATCAATTATGCGAGCTGTCTACAATGATAGTGAGTCAAAAGTAGAAATATTTATCAATACTAAATATCAGTTAAACATGAAAATCACAAACGGTACATAAAATAAATAAAAGATAAATACATTTTATAAAAGATGAATTTATATTATCTAATAATTTGTGTTATTAAAAAATTTTTAATGTAAAAATTGTGTATCACCGATTATCATTTTACTATTTTAGATCATAAAATAATCATACAGTCTTGTCCCAAAAACAACAAAACACCAAAACAACAAAATCGTATTTTTAAGTACTTTCAAAATTTTGATTTTTGTTAAGTTAATGTTAATATTTTTTAAAAACTCTTTAATATTATTGAAGCTAACATTTTTTTATTGTAATATAATCACGCAATCCAATGATAAATCCTTAAAATTTTGTAAGTTTTACAGTGCCTAGAAGTTAGTAGTATGGGTCTGCCCCGCCTTCTTCTACGCATGATTTATAAAAAACTAAAACAGTAATTGTGAAACCTACATCTCATAATTTGACATTAGTTATTTTTTTAACATACACCATACCAATACGCGTAAAAGCTACAGGATGAATATTTTTCGTAACTGATTCAATGTCAAATAAATCATGATTATATCTAATATTATAAAGCTCAAATGTATATCAAGCCGGAATTGTTATTATAGGGTTTATGTATTTTATTAATTGTATGCTATAAATATTTTATTAGGTATACCTACTATTATAATAAACAACATAGGTACTACTCGGTGATGTACTATTGTTTTTTTGTCATAATTTTGGAAAACTTTATGATGCGCTGAACCGTTGAAATGCTCGTTGTCGTTGACGACACACGGCAGTTGGTTCGAATGTTATATGATTATGAATATTATGATATTTCATTTCGAACAAACGGCGCACATCGGACTATGTATTCGAGTAATATTCGAAAATATAATAATGTTAAGCCAAACACCACGTATTATATATTATAATACAATAAATATATGTTTCCAGAGACGTATTTAGGGGAGGGGAGCCCGGACAGTAAATATTGGAGAACATTTTGATATAATACGGTACCTAGGTCATATGTGTGATAAAAAAAAAAGTAACGATACCAATAAAATTTTTATTGTGATTTTCAATTGTCACGAAACATGCATTGATAATACTTCAGGACGTAGAAAAGTATATAGTAGTTTACTAGTTTGGTAATTGAAGTACACAGAATAGACGAAATCAGATTGGCTACTGATAAGATATTACATACGTTCTTCTGACCAAAAGTATTTCGTAGACATGTCCGTTTAAACATGCTTTTTTTTTTTTTAATGTTGTCACTTGACCTATTACATTGTGGTTTTTTTTTTGTACAAATAATAATAAATACGCCTACTATAATAATGTAATATTCAATAAATTTATTCTTCATGTAAACCTAGTATGTATATCTTTCAGATTATGAGTATAACGAAGAATGCATTGGTTTCACCATTATGTGTTTTTTTATAAATACTCTTATTGCTAAAGGAATTTAGGTTTGGAAGCGTTTTTTTTTCTTAACTGAGGCAAAAAATTTCTAAATATATCATATTAAATATTATCATCTTCTTGAAACCTTCTCCTACATGATTATATACATGGAATACGATCATAAACACAAAACACACATTTATTTATTAAATCATTTGCGTTTAGAAATCATTTCGAGTCTGCACATAAACGCAAATTGTATCCAATCAATATTCCCCTCACGTTTCCAGGTGTTCCACTGTCCCTTTTATATGTATTTTACTCACATATAGATATGCCGTTATGTTGTATTAGATAGTTTGCCTCGTTGATTAGTTTTTAATAATTCAAAATTAAATGTACACCATTTAGTTTGTTGTCTCAGAACTTAGGTTAGGGTTGACTCGTTTGTAACAATTAAAACGCCGTATGCTATTGAAAACTATGAAGATTTTTAATAAATAATGTATTTAACACCAGTGTACTAAAATTCCGATAGGAGCAAAATTCATGATTTCTACGAGGATCGATCGACTGGACTTATAAATCTATATAGGTATTATACATCAGTGTTTCTTAAATTATTTTGTTACGGGGCCCCCCAAAAATTAATGTAAGACTGTCAAGGCTCCCTTAATCAAAATCATTAATTATTTTTTCTTAGTTATAACAAATGAAATAGTACATGTAATTTTAATGTACATACAGTGCTCGACTTGAGGGGGGATGCAGGGGGACGGCGTACCCCTTCTAATTTTTAGAAATTTGAGCGTCCCCCTAATATTATGATGTTATAATTATAACGCTCAACAAGTTTTGGGGACGCGATTTTTTTTAAGGAAACAGAGTCCCCCTTCTTTAATTTTGCCATGTCAAGCACTGTGTACATATACATCAAAATTACATGTACTATTTCACACAGATTAACTCTTAATATGTACCTATAGTAAATTAATGTTTTCTAATACACTTTTAGAAAAATGTAATTATAATATGAAACTTTGTACACGTATACATACGGATAAATCATGTCCTAAAGAAAATAGTTTAGATAACATAAATATTTTACAGCCGTCCAGTTATATAGTCCCCTAGGGGGCCGCGGTTCTCAGCTCGAGAAGCACTGTTATATATGATCGTACGTCATACTTATATCACTAACCCGTTAAACTTGCCGGTTTAAAACTATGATATTATATTAAAACGTATTCCCCGCATTCGCTAGAATTATAATCTCTATCCCTTCGGCCCATCAATAAATGTGTGCCTGTTTGGTGACCAACCGCAATGATCCAAACATCAAATAAAGCGTTGAAACTCGAATATTATATCCGATTAATAATGAATAAAAAATAAACACTATTAGAAAATATTTGTTAGATACT